GCTCCCCCTCCAGAAGCCTCTCCCCAGAGAGCCGCGGGTGAAAGCCGCACCCCGGCGTTTGAACCCGGTGGGCGGCATCGCTGAACCTCGCCGGTTCTGAGGCTTCGACGGGCATTTCGTAGGGTTCGCTGTCTTTGCTTCATTCCTGGAAAAATGTTTTAATGAATGTTGCGTTTTGTGAACGATGCCGGTTTAAATGACAGCATCCCTCCTTTAAGGAAAGGGCTTTCTTAAACTGTTCCTGAATAGTCAGGAAAAACTGTTTCCTGACCACCCAAACGCCTTAATATGTTTTATCAGTTGTACTTTATTGTTATACTTTATTGACGTAGCAAATCAATACGTGACCTTCAGTACATGACTTATAGCTTATCTAAAATAAGCTTGAGGAGTAATAAAGAGTTGCGGTTTCCCTAATTTTGTATTTAAGTTAAGCGTAACGAGAATACAGCAATGATTTCCGACCCCTCACCCGCTTCTCCAGGCTGGTGTGTGCGAAGAAAGCCAAACGTAACTTTTTGAGTGCCAGAACAAGCAAGTGCAAGGAAAATGGTGTGGGGACGGCAGAGCCGTTATCGGTCTCGGTTCCCACTTCCCGGTGCCGCCACGACCTCCGTCCCCTCCGCCGCCGCGGTGGCAGCTGATGGGGGGGGAGCAGAGCGGGGGAAAAAGCCTCAACCCTGGTAACCGCACACTAGGGAGTTGCCATCTCATAAACAAACAAATAAAAAATATCTGGTATTGTTTCTCCAGGCTCCTTAAATGCATTTTAACACGCGTTTGCCAAACCGATAATTTAGAAAGGACTTGCTAACAATACCGCCATGAAAAAGCCAGTTGAAGTTAATTCTGTGAAACGAATGTCTCCACTATTAAGACAGAAATCGTGCAGTTGCTTGATTATTGACATCCTCTAACTGTTCCCTCGGAAAAAGAGGGTGTTTTACCCGGTCTGAAAGCTTCGGTTGCTTTCGCCTTTTCCGACTAATGCCGTGAAAAGCCAGAGTTAAAGACTCAATCCTCAGAACACGAACTGTAATGATAAAAGCTACTAACAGCTAGAAAATATTAAAGCTGCTTTGTTATAGCTTCACGTTTCTTCC